AGAGGGTGCTCTCTCTATTTCTGCATCAGCAAAAAGACTCTTCTGAGTGTATTTTGAAAATGGGCTTCATCTCTGAAATGGTCAGATTTAGAGACACAATGTTTTGAACCGATGATTATAGAACTGCCCAGATCATATTCTGAAACCAATTCTCCCAGGGACCCACCTGAGCTCACCTTTCGGTAATGCCTGATCGTAAGTGTTTGCTAGACTCTTCTTTAAGGCCCATCAGGGATAAAACCCTTTTCCTCTGGCTATGGAACCGACCAGTTGGCCAGAATCCTACCGCTTATTTACACCAGCCTTAGTGGGATGCCGTAAATCATGCGGGGAATTGCCATTGGTCCATGAATCATAGCACACCATGTCACGCGGCTGGCGGCTGATGAGGAAGGCAATTAATTAGAGCAATTCACCACTCGCATTGGTGGCCAGTATATTTCTGGATGTGAATTCATGGTGTTGAGGGTTTCTTTAGAGTTGCAGCAGCGCTGTCTCCCAGCCCGTGTTGATTTGGGCATGCAGATTCATGCTGTCTTACTCTTTGTCCCTCTGGAGATCCATTACCTCATTGCAAGGGCGGTCTGGGTTGGAAAGTACGAGACCAGGTCCAATGACGTTAAACGTGGCATCGATGTGCATTGGATTCGGGTCTTTGAAAGAGATGGTGTGCACCCGGTACTCTGGCGCAAGGTGCCTACGCATCCATTCAATGCCCATGAAGTTTGTCACCTGCAGCAGCCAGGAAGGAGAGAGAAAGAGAGAGAGAGAGAGAGAGAGAGAGAGAGAGAGAGAGAGGCAAAGATTAAACTGAGTCAGTGCAGTGTCATGATTAGAATACGGGACCAGGACATGGGAGAGTAGGGTTCGAATCCTCATTTGCCCTGGGATATCCCGAGAGACTCCTGTTCACTGTCTTGAACTCACAAGAGAGATGGCAGGATAGAAAATGTCCTCAGTGAGTCAGCACACCTGCCTGGACCGAAATGGAGAATCAAGAACTTCGTGTGAACCCATTTATGTGAGGTCGGGATCAAAGTAAAGGGCACAAATTTGGTTTATGAATCCAAGGCGTTGCTGAAGCTTTGCACAGCACGGCAATAGGATCTCCTCACGGGCAAGCAGAACAACGGAAGGACCGGCCCCATCAGGAGAAAGGCAGCCTCGACTGTAAATAAAACCAACCCACTAAGCCCACGTTGCTGTACCTGGCTCCTTTGTACAAAGATGTCTCTTCCTGCCCTGATGAAGTCAGCAGCATCAAAACACGGCTCATATTCGGTGGTGACGAATTTGCCCTGGGCGGCCAGCTTGTGCCGGTCTTCGACCGTGCGGATGGGATAATCCTGTTTAAAGAAGATAAGACTCAGACCGAGAGAAGGACAGCGTGAAAGGCAAGAGAGGGCAGACGACGGTCGGTCGTTGCCCTTCCTTTTTTTTCTACCGAGCAGCGATAGATCCTCCCTCTGGTGGACCCTTTTTTTTTCTTTCTCTCCAGCTATCGTCCAGAAGACTCGGCCCTTTCCGAACTGGACAGAACCAACCGTTCGCTAGGACTGCCGGGTATTTTTAGGCAAATGCCTGTATTATTTTAAAACATACTACTAGAATTACAGTAAGACTGCGGTTGCCTGTTAGGGGATCTGTTCCAAGCCTTCCCTCCCCTGCCAGATGCAAAAAAAAAAAAATGTAGAAGAAGCAAATTATAACATGGCATCTGGTTCCCTCTAATGGCCAGTTCTGGTAAATACATCTTGGAAATACATATAAATACATCTTTCTGGTTTTTTTTTTATTTTATATTTTCAGGCAGCAGGTAAGTGAATCCGTGGATACTGATCCCGCTGATAGGTGGGTCCTGCCATTTGCTGGAGTGTGACTCAACAGACTAAACAACAGGATTACAGCCATGGAATTCTACTTTTTGTCTCTTTACATCTATCAGCAGCAAACTAAATAAACCAATTCACAATAGGTGTTGTTTTGACTAGAGGAGAGGGTCGCCACGCAAGCTGAATAATAATAAAAAGAATGTTCCCAGGCTCTAACAAGCACGGTGTATCTCGCTAGCCCTTTGTCACTGGGAAATCAGGAGGAGAGAGAATACCTGGTCGTAAAGCTCATCGGCCATTGTGGGCTTTGGCGCTGTTGTCCATTTGGCACCACGGCGAAAATACTCCTTAATGATTGGCCTATAGGCTCTGTATTCAAAGAAGCGGGCACGCCAAGCCATTGGGGCTTCAATTATTTCATTCCCGACGACCAGCAAAATGTCTCTTGGCATGGCTGCATACATACCTAGGTAGGTAGGTAGAGAGGGAGGGAGGGAGGAACAAACACCTTTCACAAATCCCATATTTCTTTATTTGAAATCTTTTATGTTTTCCTGGTCCTCGATCAGCTCATAGTTCCCTCTGACACCACCTATCCAAAGAAGCAAGATATCCCAAGGAAAATGTCTTGGAAAAGTGTGATGCGGAACATGGGCTTCCCTGCAGAAATGACCAAGAAGGAACACGGCTTCCAAGACCGCAAACCCAAGATCGCAGCCATTTCTATATAATCCTGTGCCCTTGAGTCAATTCTGACTTACGGTGACACTCTGGGTGGTTTCCAGGTAGGGAATACTGTACTCAGAAGTGGCTTACCATTCCTTTTTTTTTTTAAGGCCATTCTTGAGATGGTGCAGCCGGCCCAAGGCCACCCAGGCTGGCTTTTCTCCCAGGAGGCCCAGTGGGGGAATCGAACTCCCAGCATCTGGCTCCACACTCAAATCCCTAACTCACTGAACTATCCAGCCAGCTTCTATATATGGAAGCAAACTCAAATCTCCCTCCCAGTGGGCAACCTCAGCCGTTGTACCAGAGGGCAGGAGGAAGTCGAGAAGACATGCACCGTGTTCTGTTTACCTTCTGGCTGCTCGTTATGAGGTCAGCCCTTAAATAGCCTCCATGTACAGAAGGCTGTTTTGTTTCATTTCCAGATCCAATGCTTTTCAACTTGTCATCCTCTCCTATTTATTTATTCCCCAATACTTTTTCTACCGTGGATTTATTTTCATCCCAGCCTTACTTATTGTTGTTTTTTTTTAATGGTAAGGTTCTAAACAGGGCAGCCCTATTTCACACCTTTTGCAAAGCTGCTCCAAAGACTCAAAAAAGTTAAAAAGTTGGATGCAGTAAAGCAAGGAAAGAAAGATGGGGCAATGCAGAAACCAAAGCCCACGGGTGCCGGTTTCAATGCACCTAAAGACAACGGCCATTACCGGTGGACTCGAAGTCCGGTGTTTTATATTTCATGGACCAATCCAGGGGCTCTGGCCTCTTCACCACCACTCCTTCCATTTCCAGAATATGGCACATCTCTTCGATCTCCTCAATCGCTTTCTTTACGTGCTCCTTTGGGAAGCTCTGACCTCCGTGTTTCTGATAAAAACTCCAGTACTTCTCGTAGGTATTGGCCTTGGTGGGGGGGGGGGGGGGGGGAGAAAAGCAACAGTAAATATATAGATACTAGAAAGGGTGAAATTATCACACTGCAACATGATAAACAAAAACCACACCAAAAATGCACAGAAGGCACAACAAGCCGTTTAAAAGCTCCAGTCAGGCAGCCGGAAAGCCTGCTTGAAGAGAAAGGTCTTTTAACTGCTTGCAGAAGGGCAGCCAAGGTGGGGCCAGCCTGGCTTCCAGTGGCAGGGAGTTCCAGAGTCTCCGGGAGCCACCACAGAGAAGGCCCTCTCCGGTGACCCCATCAGACGCACCTGTGAAGGGGTCAGGACCGAGAGAAAGGCTTCTCCGGAGAACCTTAACACCCGAGCAGGCTCACAAAGGGCAACGTGGTCCTTGAGTTAGCAAAGGGATGAAGGGGCAAAGACTGAGAGAAAGGCTTCTCCGGAGAACCGTAACACCCGAGCAGGCTCACAAAGGGGCAACGTGGTCCTTGAGTTAGCAAAGGGAGAGGGGTCGTGGCACTTTGGGGCTTTTCATTCTCCTGAGGCTAAATCGTGGCAGGCGGGGGAACGTGGGCGAGGTTCTTCCCTCTCAGGCAGCGAAATGTCTTCCGTCAGCTGCGGTGAGCAGAATGTGTTTGCAGACATCCTCCACGGGACACACACACACACACCGGCGTGCCTTGCCCGTGTCGTCAGGTTTTCGGGGCGTCTGGGAGTAAGTGAATAGGGTGTTTAAAAATAATTGACCCCTACCCTTGCTTTTTTTTTTAAGGGGGGAAAAAGACCAAGGAAGGCAGCTTGCCTGGCCAACATCTGTTGCTGTAATTAGGTCTCGGTAAGAAGGACGCCAACAGCGAAAGATGAATGGTTCCAGGGCCCGGCGGCTGCCAAAGATACAGTACGAGGCCGGAGATCACTGGCCGTCTGCCAAAAGGACAGAGTCCGGTAGCTGTAGAAACGGGCCGGGGTGGAACTGTGTAACTGAAGCCTGACCCACGCGGACTGCAAGCTCAGCAATTCAGAAGCTACTTTTGGAAATGTTTGCTTGAGGCGCTCATAAATTGCAGGCTTTAAAACAAACTGTCCCCCCCCCAAAAAATCTGTTTTCCTTTCTCTTGCATTTCTTGTCTTTCTATTCCAGGAACTGCCTACCGTCGATTCCCCCACCCCCATGGCCCAGACAACGTTTGGTCACTTTACAAACTTTGAACAGCCTCCGCTTCATCCCAGCTTTCAAATTGTGTCGCCAAATTATCACAGCTGGGGGGACAGTTTTGCAACATCTCCCCCCCACACACACACACACACACCGGTTGCTTTTCATTTGGATGATGGCAGTTTTAAAATCTCATTAGCAGTGCATGGTTAAAATGAATATGACCTGTATCTCTCCCCTTCTTGTTTTAAGTTCTGTGTTCAAATGTAAAATAAGGTGTGGTCAACGTATAGATCAATTCATGAATAACCTGGGGAAGACATGAAAACTTTCGATTCTCAAATACAATGCTTTTTTTAAAAGTCTGTTTCTCCAAATATTGAGGAAGTCTCAAGAATAGCAACCTATCACTGCTCCAACTTCTTTAGCCATATTCAGTTGTGATGCAATTCACATTCCAGCCTACAGGGTTCCCTCCCTCCCTCCTTCCTTCCTTCCTTCCTTCCTTCCTTCCTTCCTTCCTTCCTTCCTTCCTCTGGTCCTGCCTTTGGCAATCCTTTTATGCTTTGCTATGAAGCCAATTTCTCATTTAAAGCTTCAGACGACCACATGTCTCAAAAGCTTTTCTATAGAAAAATAACAAAGTACAAAACATCATTAAGTTTGATCAATAATTTTGTAAAATACACCGTAAGTCACAAGTCAGAGTGATTCCATAACAGGGATCACCACCTTCCCTTTCCTATCCATTACTCTTTCCACTTCTTTGTAAATAATGCATGCAGGAATTACTTTGTCTCTACAACATGCTTAGAGGGGAGGATCTCGCCCCCTGTCTTTCCATGAGGAAAGTAATCCGTTTGCAGTGCAAAGGTTCCTCCCCACATCCGGCTTCTGTGAGCAAGGGTTCTGGGTTGGAATTCTTTCCTGCAGAGAGGGTCTACGCATGAGCCCCTCTCTAAGCATGCTGGAGCAAACAGGGGTAAGTAGCAACTGAATAGGGCTAATGAAACTGGACTTCAAATATTTGGAGAAATGAACTTCCACAAATATTTGGAGAAATGAGAATTGCAAAAAAAAAAAAAATCCACTTCCAAAGGCTTTTGTCAATAAATCAATAAATGCTTACCTTGACCTCAACAGAGAAAGGAGGGACACAGGCGTTCTCGGCTCTTCCCACAATCACTTCCTCCAGAGGGTCCCATTCGTTGTATGAGCAGACGGGGCAATCTTCGGGAAGAGGTTCGGGGGCCTTGTTATTGTCATCAGCAACAGCACAGGTAGTCTGGGGGGCGGCCGCCGCCGCGTGGGTGCTCTGGTAAGTTCGCTGCACCCATCCTGTAAAGGCTCGGCCAACCTTTCGTTCAAAAAGCAAAAACACAAATAGGGGGGGAAATGTTTTACTTATATTGTCTGGTTTCTGTTCATTGTTACCCGTTCTCTGAAGATAAAAGGGTATCTCCAGAGAAGGGGGTGGTTGATTTTTTAGACTCCCTGGATTCTTGGTCTAAAGAAGTCACTTCTCCCATCTCCAGATAGATTGTTCTGCTAAATTAAGGAGCTGGGGGACTAGTCCTCATGATCTCAGCCACCCTTTCAGTTTCAAGGGAATAAACCTCTTCTTTGTGGCAAGGGTTCTGTTCGTTCCTTGTGAACACTTTGCAATTAGACTTGAATAAAGCAAGGTACCTTTCTGGAAAATAAACAACAGGACATTTTCTGCCTTTCAGTGGATTATCTGTGGAAATTACCCTGCTGCAGCTGTGATCCATTTATAGCAGCAAACTCATATAAACCAAGTAGGGTCATCGGCCCTACACAACAGAGCCACTGGTGCAGGATTATGGGCATGGCAATCCAAGAACAGCCAACGGTCCCTTTGGCCGTGAACCTTCCCCGTCACTTAACGGGAGCAAGTTGTTAAATCGAAGGTTCCCAAAAGCAAAGCGCGGGGAGGCACAATTGCAATCCAAATGTCCAGCAGTGAGCCCTTCAGTCCTCCGGCCAAATAGGAAAGTCTGTCTGCAGATAGGAAAAGGAATAGGGCCATCCAGGGAAGAGTGACGCTCCCCCTGCTCCCAGAGGCATTTCGTGGTGGACGGAGGCCAAAGGCTAAGCCTTTACGAATGAACGAGGCAGCCGCATTCCGAATTTAGCAACCTGAGTAGTCAAGGAGTACTGTAAATGTAGCGGCTCCTGGACCCATAAACACAGATACACACTTCACAACCAAAACAGCTTTACTAAAGCTTACTCTCTACCATATTTCTGTCCCACTAAAAAAAGTGAGAGAGAGAGAGAGAAGCAGGAAAAACATTGGGAGGGCAAGCAGCAAACATCGTTCCTTGACAAGGCTCAGCAGCACATGGACCAGTTTTTCGTTCCAAGGAGGACTGCCTCGTTCCTAATAAATGCTTCCAGTTGGAAAAGCAAGATTTCCATACGAGCTAAACCTACAAGTAAAAACGAAACAAAAGCAAAGCATGGACATCGCTTTTTTATCAAGCCACCTAGGCTCCAAGGAAAGTGCAAAGATGGAAGCCTGTTGTCTTGGTCCACATCAATGAATCCCATCTGTTTTTACTCTGCCAGGAGCACCTCTTTTGTAAACCCAATGACTCTTAATGGTCCGCTTATAGGCAAGGCCATTCCCCCCCCCCCCCCCGCAAATGAATTTTAAAATACTGGCAGGAATAGCTTATGGCAGTTCATAACCACTGGAAAATCTATTTCTCATCCCCAGCTATAGTGAGGACAAGCTCCATGAAAGCAGGGGATTCTGCCCGGAGTGTGTGTGTGTGTGTGTGTGTGTCACAGATCAAAAAGTCCTGGTGTTTTGACTCTACCTACATCTTTCTTGCATGCCTCCTCTTCCGATTGTGTTTTTCCAAATGTCAAAACGCCACGAGTTTTGATGGCGCCTTGCATCCTCAATCAACACAACCCATCAGAGCTGGGGGGCCAGGAAAATTAAGACCCGCAAATGAAGCCCCCTGTGTTTACCTCTCCGGGACCAACCACTAAATGAAGAAAGCTAATTTTCAAGACAGGAAAGGTGACAAGCCCTTGTGCTTTGACAAACAGAGGGCATCTCAGCACATCACAAAGCCTTGCTTCTAATGATGAGCCAACCGTACTGCCTAGGCGGATCTCTGAGCTAAGATGGGGACGTTGCTCCTCGCAGCCCCTTCATCTTTGGGTTGCCTTTTTTTCAGCTGGAGAAGGTGGCCCTTTCTTATCCAGCCCAGCCCAACAGATATTTATTGACTACGGGATTCTGGAATGACCATCTTCAACAAGAATAACAAGAATAATCATTTTTCCAGGCTCCAATGGTTTGCAGAATGGCTCAGAGTCTGAGGTTTGACCATCTTAAGCTGGATCTACCAGGGAAAAGGGGTGTCCTGGCATATCATGTAACACATGGATCTTGGACTGCTTTGCCCACATGCGCACGCACGCACACACACACGCACACACCCTATGATGGCCACTGGCTTGGATGCAAGCCCCGGGACTGGACTCTTCCCAGCCACAGAGGCTCCTCGGCGCTTTCCCCGACCCTGCAGAGCCGAGCATTCCAAGCCCTTTAGCCCAGAAGGCTCAGCATCTGTTTCACACCAGCTGTTGGGAAAGACTAGACAGCGACATCGGCCGAGGAGCAAACATACCCCTATCCCCTTGCAGACGGTTCGGGAGCCACATTCCCGGCCCCAATATGGGAGAGATTCGCAGGCCTGCTGGCTCAGCAGAAAGGAATCGGAAGGGAGGCGCAAGGAAGAAAAAACTTCTCTCAGCAAGGCGCACTGGAGCGTGGAAACAGGAAAGCCTAGCCATGTCCGGGGAGGGGGGCAGCAGGGGGGGAGTGCGTTCTCAAGGGGAGCCCAGCCCAAGGCCACCAACCAGTTTGGACCAGTCCGCTGGCTTGGCTCCAAGATCTGGAACTCTCTGAGCCATATGTAGCAGAGCTGGCCCGTCCGAGCAGAGGCAGAGCAAACACCTAGTGGGAAAGGAACCCGTTTTCTTGCACGAAAACGCCAGCCTCCCTCTCCCGATCCGGGAGGGGGCTTCAGAAGGGACCCTGCATCGATGCTTCCGGCAGTTTGATACCCAATGAAACTATGCTGGCTCCATGCTATAAGATTTTAGGCTTTGTCCTTCAGAGAAGGGTTTGTGAAATCCTTAGCTACCAGATTCTAGCGCTCTAGATCTCGGTAGATGGACAGCTCCGGGGTTTCCAGAAGACGGAGCTACGGCTACCCAAAGGCAGAGTAGAGACAGTCAGAAGGAAGCCATGGACTGAGGTGGTTTGCTCGGTGGCTGCAGTTCCCACTAAGAGGGGAAGAATCGCTCACCTCCGCTAATACACAATTACTCACTGGGTGTCTGTCTAAGGAATAAACAAGGTGTCAAAGGTCAAGGTACAACGTAGGACCTCGAAGTTCAAAAGTCGCTCTTCTAAACTCTAGTCTGAGGGCTTGATTTTATCACCCAGTGGAGAAATAGTGCATTCCACATGTGCGACACTGGGTCATAATACACTCTTTTCACTGATGCGGCACCGCCATTCAAAAGCCGCAATGCAAGAGACTCAACCACAAAGGTCTTTTACACACGTACACAAAGCATTGTGGGTAATACACTCTACATCGCTGAAATTAAACCAAATCAAGTCAAATCAGAGTTAACAAAATAAAACCTGCTTTAATTTTAAGAGCCAAAAGGCTCAAGTGTATGCCAGTAACAATCCATTATGAAGCAAAGAAATACTTTAAGAGCTGATTGTGTGAGACTGGTTGCCTAACATTCCTGTAATTTGCAAATTAGCCCGCTTTGTTTCGTGAATTGCTTTCGAGAGGTAAGCAGGTTCTTCCATGGCAAATCTAATTTCTCACACTAGAAAGATTACCCTGGTACGTAACATCAACTCTAATGATGGGTTATCATTAAAGTACATATAGTTTTGCTCTAATTTACAAAATATGATTTGCTTTTCCCCCTCACCTCTTTAAGAGAGTGAAATCAAGAACTAAAAGTGGGCGTGAATGCAAGGCAGATGTAAAAGAAGCCACTTTTTGCAGTGCTAAATATCTTTTCTTTAGTGCCACCTGTAGGAATGTGTCACACCTATAAAATCACAGATAAAATCTTTGCTTACACCCTCCTGCTTTTTATACTGGGGTTAACATAAGCAGCTTGTGGCATCCGTGTATTGTCCCCCTGAAATTTTGGGGTGAGGCATCACCCCTCCCTAATGTCCCATGTGATGTTCATTTCCTGGAAATCTAATAAACCGACAAGAGGGAAAGATCACCTTTCTCTGTTCATCAATGCACCTTTTATCCACCTCCCGTATTCCTGTACCTAAACCCAGATGCCTTTTAAGGATGACAACGTTGTCATAATCTTGTGCACCCAGATGCCGTGCTGTGCAGCACTTTGCTCCTGCAGGTCCGTCCGTCCGTCCATGCACTGTAGACATGCTTACCTTCCCAGATCGAACTGGAAAGATTTCCCCACGCGATCGTTTCAAGCCGCTTTTCTCAATTGTGTGCCCCGCAGAGGCCTTGCATTACAATCCCCACAACCCCTCTGCAGCGGGAGGGGTGCTATCCTGTCCTCTACACTGCAGGTAAAGATGGGTGTGGAGGAAACAGAAGGAAGGAGCAAACGGTGTGCCCTAGTTGGTGAAAGGGGCATGCACGGATTACGCTACTATATCATGATCCAGATTCTTCCTCTCCCCCCCCCCGCTTTTATGCAAAGATAGATAAGGATCCACCGGGGCACCTAGACCTCCCCCCAAATTTTTTCGGGCAGTGCCCCTCCTGCGCTGTTCCCAAGCCATCTATGGGCATCCCCATCCTCTCCTTTACCTCGTCAGTCACCTCTGGGCACACCCGCAACCCCCGTCTCTGCCCTCTGCTCTCCCTTGCCCGACACGGATCATAGGCGGGTTCGCACGACACCACAGAGCGGGAAGGAACGGCTCCTCCGTCTCACCCGCGTGAAACTTTGGCCCCGCTTGGTGCCTTGTTCGTTTAATATATTTATTTCTTTTGGCCCCAAACTGGAACTGGGGGAACGGCGGCGGCAGAG